TTTTCTTTAAAGGAGGTCATAGGATTTTATGACTTGAACAACCTTCCCTCAGTTGGACCCCCAATCTACAGAACAGGAAACTCATGCACTCCCTGCCCTGCTCGGCATCTGCCAGGCTTGGCTACCTGAGGTGCACAGACTAAGACTCATGAAGGCCAGGTTGATGAATCTTCTCTCACGGTGAGCACAACCTGCTCCCTGTTTCATCTCATCTTTCACCATTGATATATTGCAGACCTGGCCAGCATCCAACATCCAGCATCTTCCATCCCACTGCACATTCTTTCATTGGAGCAGCTGCCAAAAGCATCACACAGAAATGCCTAGCAAACACAGTGAAATCAGGTCTTTTAATGCTGTCACCCTGAAGGCAAAGGAAAGTATGAGGCTGAAGACAATTGTCCCATGCACTGTCAAACTTTATTTCTTTCATGCCAAAATACAAAATGGAATGCATTTAATCCCTCACTTCCTCCCCATATATACTGTATAATCCTAATAACATGCCCTTGTATTTTGGCAGTTGGGATTCAGAGTGGAATGTGCGCATGCTACAGTTGGTAGTTTGAACTGAGTAAGAATCTAAGGAGGGACATCGCTGTCCAGAGGGAAAGTCAGCTGCATACAGGAGGATTGTGGGGAGTGATGCTAACGTTTATTGGCCATGCCACTGCTTAGCAAGGGTTGGACCAGAGCCATGCAGCCTCCTTGTTCATGGCACTCTGCCCTGCCTGCATTGCACCTCATTCTGGCATAAATATACTCCGGTGCCTGTGTTCTGGTAAATGCTGAGTTCCTCATAAACAAGATTATAGAAGGTACTGAGTGTCACTGGTGAGTTTGGACTTGTCCTGTAATTACTAAAGGTACATATATGTAGTAGTCTATATTTGAGTTTGTCACATTAATTCCCAATCATGACTTTAAGATACATCACACAATATTTAGAAAACAAAAGCACAATTTTGGCAAAACATTTATCATTTTAGACATGGCAATGAAACATTCATTTAGATAAGCAATCATGGTAGATAGTGTCAACCCTCTGGATTATTCAAACTGAAACTTCAGATCCAAAGGTGAAGCTCTTGCTTCCCTGCCCCCATTGATAGCCTCTGATGTCACCCATCTTAGGGGGTGACCTATAGTGTGCTGTGGGAGGCAGGAAGGGAGGGGTTAAAGCGCCATTGCAATAGACATAAAGATGTGCCACTGGGATTTTAAACCATTCATGAAAATATCAAAAGGGTAGGGCGGGCACCACTAGGAGCCAGATTTGCACTCCTTTCGCTAGTTTAAGATGTTTAAATTAGGCACAGGTTTACTTTGTCCACTAACATCTCTGATACCCCATCTTAAGGTCTTAATTATAGTGCTTGGTTATCCTATAGTGTTCTTGTACCCACCCTAAAATTTCCCATGCATGAGTAATTATCTGAAACTGATGCAAATCCTCCCTTATTTAAATGGTTCAATTGACCAAATACCTTGCTGTGTTTTTATTTTGTTGCTGGTCCCCACAGCTGTTGCCAACTGCAATAGCTAAACACAAGTTGGTGAGGTTTTTTGACAATTGCTTCTAAAACAGTTGTAAGAGTCAGCTCAACATAAACTAAAAAAATCTGTAGTGCTGTTTTTCCGACATTATTTATAGTGGCAACTTCAGAAATCAATATAAAGCCACAAAGTTCCACTATTCATATAGAAAAAAAATACCAAAAAAATACTTTGTTGTTGCATATTTTAGTTGTTATTGCTGATAGTTGAGCAACCAATCAGAAAGCATTCTTTGTTTTTATAGCTGGCAAATTGCTGAATCTGATTTTGGTTTTGGTTTACCACACCTTGTACAACACCATTGCTCTTAGAACTGTCTTATAAAATGCATCGGCTTATATTTTCTTCTATGAAAAACAGCCAAGTTATTGCCTCTAATTATTGTCACTGCGCACAGCCAATTAAGGTGAACTTGCATAGCAATGAAGATATGAGATGCTCACATCCATTTTCTACACTGACATTGACAGCTACCATTGGTTGTCTGTGAGCCTTTATTTGTATGAATATAGGTATTAAATGGAACACCACAATCCAGTAGACCTAAAAGCCACAAAACGACATTCCTAGTCTGTCAGTTTGTGGACTTGCACTGACATGTGGAGTGCCCTGCCGTAACTTCCTGTCTTCACAGAGAATAAAGAAAAACCACAGACAGCCTCTGACCGCTGCCAATATGGTGCAGGTGCAGGAAAGCAGGCAAAAAGATCCTGGGTAAAAATAAATCTTTTTTTTTTTTTTAACAGGTAGAAAATGAATACTTGATTTATTCAAAATACCTGTGTTAGTCCTTCGTCACTTTAATAGCCTTAGAGATGGTGGGAAAGTTGTGGACTTTAGTGGTGTTTGTGTGACCATGTCATCTTATTGTGGTGGTGGGTTGTGGATGTTCTTTTCAATTTATCTATTTATTTATAGATTTTTTGGATGAAAAAATTATTAATTTTTATACCGCATTCTGGCTCATAGGTAGCCGTCTTTTTACCATTAGTATATTTCAGTATTACATGGTTACAGGTTAACATGCTGTTATGATTCGACAAATTATGATATAAGGAGCATCCCAACTTTCATTCAATATTAGTATTATTTTTGTAGGAAAAAGATGTTTGATGCTTATGCCTGTTTAGGGACACCTTGACAACCTGTAACTGGCATGTGTATACAAATAGCATAGATAACTATGGTAAAAAGATTGGGGTTCTACATCCTTTTCTACAGTAGCTTTCCTTAATTTCTAGAAAAACTCCAAGGCATGTTTGTCCTTGGTAGAACATCATTATTTTTACTTTATGGGAAAAGTAAGCATGAAGAGACTTGATTCAATTTTGGGCCAGTTAGGTAGAATACCTTTCTTCAGAACTCGAGGGTTAAGAGCAGCCTTTATTTAGCATATGGACTGCAAATTATCAAGTGTTTCCTTCACATATCATATCCTACTTAATCCTAATTAATTAAAGTCCCTAAACTGGTAATATAGATCCAAAGCTAGACCTACCCATTTTTCAAGAGCACCCCATGAGTCCTGAAACCCAGATCACTCTGTTAATGGAATAAGTGGTTTCACCAAGGAAGTTAGTTCTTGATCCAACTCTTCTGACTGCTTAACCCACTCATGGGTCCAGCAATGTGAAGGACAGCCTTAAAGGAGAACTATGAGGTGAGTGCTTTTCACTCACCTCATAGTTCTAGCCGACCTGTGACAATGAGACTGTCACAGGTCGGCTCAGTAGATCGGGAGGTGAGCGAACACATACCGGGTTCGCTCGCCTCTCGATCCTGTCACGGCTCTCTGCCGTGACAGGGGGAGGGGCTGGATTCCCCTCTCCCCGCTCTGATCCGCCAGCGCTGACTGGCGGAACGGGAGGGGGCGGGTACAGCTGGCTCTGCCTCTAGATAGGCAGAGCCAGCTGTCACTCACGCAGCTGGGCGGATCCCGTCATCTAAGTCGTGATCCGCTCCGGCTGCGGCGTCTCAGTATACCGCGAGCTGTAGCTCGCGGTATACTGAGCTTAGGGTAACGGGAGGACGCTAGTTTGTGTCCTCCCGTTACCCTAAGGAGAACTATGGGTAAAAACACTGACCCCATAGTTCTCCTTTAAATGCCAAAGGAGAGCCTTAGTAAGTAGAAGGCTTAGGACAAAGAACTGACTTTATAGATAAAGACACTGTTTACATCACAGTATGCAGATGTTTCAAGGCTTTCAGGACCTTCTAAAAGAAATGTGCAATCACATCTGTGTACCCGCAGTTCATCTATAATAGCAGTGTAGGGATTTAAGGTCAGATGCAGATTTCCTTTAAAGGGGGCTTCACTTTGCAAAATCAATTAGAAAACCTGACTACGTTCTGTAGTTACTAATTGGTGGAGATCTCTTGCATTTGCTATATCTACCGATCACCTGTCATTAATGTAGACAGAAGCAATTGTCCCTGAGGGGTGGTTGTGTTGTTCCAAAAAAAAAGGCTGAATTGTAGCAGCCTTGGGTTGCTTTCATCTGCACTATATACAGCTGACTGGCAGATTTGGGAGCCTGATAGCCAACAGCATTTTGCATCAGCAGATATGTCACAAGGTTTTCTACTTGTTCGAAGGTAAGAAACCCCTGGTAGAAAACCCACAGGCTTTACAACAAAGGGCATGACATCTGTTTAGTATTTCTGTAAGGACTATGTATCAATAGCCATGTCACCCTGCTTGATACCTTAATCAAAATAACAGTATGTGATTGGTAGATATAGGCGACACTTACTTTTGTTCAGGCAACTATCAAACACTTCTCATTATTGTTTGTATAAGACATATTAAATTCCTATGATACGTGACTTTTGTTAATGCTTCTTGAGACCACATCCCCAGCAGAGTATAAATGTTTAAATACAAATATCAGGATCATACATATCCTGCAACTACTGTATATACCTGGGATGTTACCTAACAAGTGCATGGTGTTCTCTTTGCATAAGCAATGCTCAATCAGTGACAGCCTAACTCATATGTACAGTATATTACAGCATGGACTAAACGCAAGCAAAGGAGAAGAGGTGCTTACAGCAGCAAGGACCAGCATCCATGCAAAATGGTCAGTTTTTTTTCTCGGTTTCTGAGTTTGTGTTAAATTGCCCATCAAAAATACTAAAAAAGAGATTAAAAGTCCTGTTCCATTTTGTCAGCGAGGAAGCAGCATCATCCAAAACTCGGGGAGGTCACATGACATTGCATCATGTGAGGTTCTTTCCCATTTGCGACCCTATATGTGGCAGTTTTCAGCTTTATTATTGATTACAGACAATAGCTTTCATTCCTTTGATACAAAAGCTGGAAATAAAAAAACGGTTTTGTGCCATCGCCTGAATGCCAGTCCCCAGATGCCACTCCATAAACTGTCCATCTGTAGATATTCCTGTTAGGAGGGCAGCCTCAAGGCATCTCTCTGTTTTCCTTTTTCAAGTCCCTCTCATTGTGTGCTGTGCTCCTGAATCTCTTTCTTATTTCTCTCAATTCCCAAGGGCGTGTAAAGTGCCGCATGCAATCCCTTGGACCTTGGAAAGAGCTGGGCCTGCTCCTTCCCCCAGCAAGCCTCCAAAGTGTAAGGTTCTCTTGCAGTGAGGAGGTGTCAACAAATGAAGGAAAGGCAGGCCGCTCCCCGATTTCCCTCTGAGCCCCAGCTCTTCACTGAACCTTAGTGGAAAACTGTAAAGAAGATAAGTGATAGTCATTAGATTGTTCACTATGTAAATAACACAAAGCATGCTCATCTTTTTTCAAGTACATTGCTTTCTTATGCTTGCTACAGTTAAATACATTGACAAGATACATTTATGCTGAGGCAGCATAGAAAATGGTGATCTATGTTTGGAAAAGTCCTATCCTGATAGTTGTAGTTGGTTTCCATGGTATACTGTATATCCCAGAATAAAAGTACAGGAATCTAGATTGTGTGTCCCTCCACCATCTCTTCCAATCTTCCGAGATGGGAAAAAGGGACACCTTTTAGCACACAATATGCAAGCAAAGGACATACTGTAGCCCTTGCCACATCCCCGTTACATGGATCTTGAAGATATAATATTATTAATAAATGGTTAAAGCAGAACAGGGTCTACAGATAAGTACTAAAGATAAGTATAAGCAAAATCTGCTGGTTTTATTTTTAAATCTTTTGGGCATTTTATTTTTTCTTACAATATCATGCTTTTTTCACTATTTTCCTTTAGGGCTTGTTCACACCAATTGCGGTTCGTTCCAGTAGCTGTTGGAATGCATCGCAATTGCTCACAAAACTTGCCCCTGCGTTCTGGGGCGGGAGGGGACGTAGCGGTGCATTGAAGTCAACGGCATCGCAGCCACGCCCCCGCGACAGACTGTATGAACAAAAGTGGTAGTATAAAGGCTTATGCTCTGTGCCCATAAGTCCTCAGCTACCAAGGGCACTATTGGCAAGCAGTTTGTTTGTGAGTATGTGTCTCCAATATAACTAGTAAGCACTGGTAGATGTTTCTGACCAAAATGACCCTACTGATGTGAATTGTTCACTTGTTCTATAAAGTTGTTGGTGCAATATAAATAAATAAAAAAATTATTTTGCACCATGAATTCACAAAAAGCTGAACCACTTCTATAAAACATTTTAAAAAAAAGTATAAATATGTACCTGTATTGTGTAAAAGCTGCTCTGAGCTCGCACAGTGGATGGATGCTATGACTATGTGCCTAGGAACTTGTTTATATGAACTGAAAACAGGAGAGTCCAGGCAGGGCAGCGGTCCCTGAACTTCGGGGCCTACAACTGAGATTACTGAACTCCCTAGGCATGTGGTCACATACCAGACTGTCTTGAAGTGTGGAATATGATTTTTTGCAGCACAGGTATTACAGTTTATTCTAACAAGGGGGCAGCGTGACCAGGTTGGGTGGGAGGTTCAGTAAAAGGTACACTTGAATAGGTCATCAAATCCTTTTTCTATAGTTATTGAAAATGGTATCAAATGTATTTTAAGTATCCGACTTAGGTCTGGGCTGCACTGATTGATCAAGAAGCTTTGATGTGAACCAAGATATTCTAAAGGCTATGACAGCAGGATTTCCGATATTAGGAGATTGTAGAAATATTACAAAATAAAAGAACACATCATTCCACCAAACGCATGCTCTGTCATTCCTAGGGATTAATGAAAATGGAACCTTTAATATATCCCACTGCTATGTATTATATCTGATTGATGGCAGGTGCCATATATTTTACAGTTTTGGTTCACCGGTAACAAAATGGCTCAGAACACCGTGGGACAGATTTGCATCTGTAAGTTGATGGTTCCTTTCAGGCATTTTCTAAAATGCAGTGAGGACATGACTGATGAGGAAACAAGGCTTTTCCATTATGACTGACTGAACTGCTTCCCCTAAATGAATTTTCTGTTATAGCTGAGTGATACATACACTATATACGAAGGACAACCTTTCTATATTTCTAGATGACATGGAGCAAGAGCTGCACGTCCAGACTGACAGGTGACTTTCATTATTCTGCAGTTGATAAATTATGGAAAGCAGAAGCAATACGTGCCAGGAACAATCCTCTCCACTATGAGTGTACATACAATATAAATATATATACACACACAACTGTATTAGTAAGTCCTCGGTGGAGTTTAACTACCTTTTCTATTGCTTGGATACATCAGTAACAGTCCCCATCTCTTATAAGACCAGGAATGGGAGTCTCACTTAAAAGTAAAACCATCAGCTTTAGGTGGATATACACTTGAATCAGAGTCCTCACCTAACTGCACTGGAGGCAACTACTGTATTTTGTTGCCTTATATTTAATTTGCGCTTATTTTAGTGAACAAACCACATTCTTATGAATACTTCTGGTCCTTGAAAAGTGCTAGCTACATTGCATACAGGTGACATATTTATACCTTAGGAGATTTTTAGCTCACCGGTGATACTGAGGACACAAAGGACGATGATGAGGATCCCCAGCAAGATGGATACCACACTCAGGAGTCTGGCCAGGCGTCCTAATCTTCGAGCTCCATCCACATCACCCTGCTGTAAGCTGTTTCTTGACTAGGCAGAGAACAAAAAATGAATCAAAACTTTGTGGAACAAATATGAATTTTAATTTAGACAAAAAAAATAATAACGGTTTTATTGTTGTCAGTTTTCCTTTTCTATATACAACAACATTCACAAACATATATTTTACTTGTTTCTTATCAGAAGGATATGCGTGGTCTGGTAAAATATACATGGTTTTTACTTTAGAATATCACCATTGTTGAAAATAGGTCAGGTATATCCTCCAGATACTAATCTAAATGCTACATGCATATACTGTATGTGTAAGATGTAAATGTGTGCTTCTCTTTGCCCTAAGAAAAGAGAGTATGGTGTATGGAATTATATCTTCAGCTTTCATTAAAAAAAATTCCTGGAGATCCTACCATGAAATTCCAGGTTCAGCCCTTTCCAGTGATGTACTGACATTGACTGTCAGTTGTGCATTGCCACCCTGTAACATTCCCTCTCGCAGTCGTGCCAGCACACATTGTGCAGCATTGGTCCAGCAATGCATTTATCAGGAAGTTGCTCCAGAACAATGACTGGAATGAGTACATGTAGACAGGAAGTGGCTGAAAGATTCTGGGGATTATCAAAAATGAATTTAAAAAAAAGGTGAAAACAATAGTTCAAAATTGCTATAGCATACAGGTAGGGTTCACATCTATTCTATTCTAAAAATTTCACAGAGCAAACATGCACTTTATACCTGTAGCTATATATATATATA